ATTTCCTTTCATAATAAACAGTATTTCAGAAAACTTCTAATTTATTTCTTGCAAAAACAGATCATATATAAATGTAACTGTCGTTCTGAAAAACAGGACTGCATTATGCTACAGACTTAATACAGACTGAAAGCATGTTCCCCAAGTCTTCTCCAACAAATCTTGCCAAATGGACGTCTGAAATGTCCTACTGAAACAGGTGGTGTCTGAACAGAATTGGATTTTTGCCTGTAGAAACCCTGGCTGTAACAAATGCTGTAGTTAGTTTTAATTTTCAGTTCTTAAAATTAACTGCTTGCCAGCCATTCAGGAAGAGACTGAACAACATGTTTAGACTTTGCCTTGTTTAACAGAGAGAGGGAGAGAAGGAAAGGGAAGGAGACAGGAATGAGAAGAGAAGGAGAGAGGGAGGCAGGGAAGTTTGGTCAACAGTCTACCATCCTGCCACAAAGAACAACAAAGAAACAGGCCACTTAACCTCTAGGGAGAAAAAAGGAGGAGCAGATATAACAATCTCAGTTCTCAAAAGATGCTCGCCCTTTTGTGCTTTCTTAATGGCAGCAAAGGACGTAACTACCTTGCTGGACATAATGCATTACTCTGATAGAAATTTAGAAATAAGAGCAGTGCTAAGAATCACTAATTTTTCTAATAAAAACTTATATCTTAAAAATGATATTGCAAACAGATCTGAAATTACTCTTTATACAAGCAAAATACAAACACCCAGAATTTAAACTCCTTGAAGAAAGCTACCTATCATAGGTTTTCTTGTTTAAATACAACACAGGTCCATTAATGTGCTAGTCATTCTAACCAATGATAAACATGTCTTACTATGAATAGACTGAGTATCTGATACTGAATAACAAAACTTTCATCCCTACTCCTTTTAAGTACTTGATACAAAGGTAGTCAAGCCTCTGTTTATCTTCTAAGCCAGTACTGAGTAGTATGTGCCACAAATACTATGATTATGATTCCTTCTGAAGGAAACACTACCAGGTCCATCACATGGCTAATAAACCGAGATTCAAAAAGATGCAAAAACTTTTCTAGGACTACCCAGAGAGAAGATAATACAGATGAGGGTTGTTTTTGTTTTTAAATCAGCCTGATTTCCAATCGCATCACACAGCCCCCTCATCAGAAATTCAGAGAAAAGTTGATCAATTCGTTTTAGTTATACCACATACAACAGCTAATCTGTATCTATGCTTTGCAAATACCCACAAGAAAAGCTCACTTATTTCAATTTGTTGTCTTGGAGCATTGGATAGCAAAAGCCTTCCACACCATTTCTCAAGATGACTGCATTCCAGCTACTAAGAAGGCAGTGACTGAACAGAGAGAAAAATCATCTGTTGTAATCAGAAACTCCTTGCTCCTAATGTCAGAACAATTTGAGAACTGCTGATCCAAAAGGAATCAATCTGTTCATTTTATTATAAATGGGAAATACACAGAAACACCTCAGTGGAATAGCTTCTCCATGGGGTATGCCTAATCCTTTTGCTTATAACTCCAGGACAAGTACACAATATCAAGTCTTGCCCTTAAAAGTTTATTGTTGGGCCAGGGGTTTAGGTTCAGTGGTTCTGCTGCCTCCCTCACAAGCACAAGGTCCTGAGTTCAATCCCCGGTACAAAAAAAAAAAATTTATTGTTCTCACTGCCCCTTCCCCCTTGCAGTCCAGAAATAAAATGAGATCTCAAAGGAAATCTCCCAAATAAGTATAACTATATAAACAGTAAGTATGCAAGAAACATTAATCATTAATTGTATTAATGTGATACATACTTTAAATAGCTCTTAAGTTTGTCCCTGTCTACTCCTTGACTCTTTTCTGGTTTTTTTGTTTTTTGGAGAAGTAAGTATGCAAGAAACATTAATCATTAATTGTATTAATGTGATACATACTTTAAATAGCTCTTAAGTTTGTCCCTGTCTACTCCTTGACTCTTTTCTGGTTTTTTTGTTTGTTTTGGAGAAGGTTTTTTTTTTTTTTTTTTAATTAAGGATTAATGGCTTAGGTCCTAAACCAAATCCACTATTTCCCCAGCAAATTCCAATGAGGTCTCTAATTTACAGAAAATTACCTCCAGAGCCCTGTAAAAGAAAGAATTTTATATTTCAATAGTCTTAGAAAGTAATACTTAAGTCCAAATGTATCTTTTCCATAAAAGGTTTTTTTTTTTCCTTTTAAAGAAAAGTTATCCTCAACATCACAAAGCACTTCAATACATGAGCACAAGGTGCATTTCTTACAAGGGGAAAGTACACCAAGATTTCCTTGAGATTATTTAGAAAATAGTATGACATCATAAAAGAAACTCAGTAGAAGAAAACAATTGTCATATAGGCATAGTTTCATAGAATAAAAAGAAAAAAGAACTACAGCTCTTCTGGCAAAAAGTTCCTTGAAATCATTTTCTCCTAAGAGCGGAAAAGTGCTTTTTTTCCTATGATGCTACAAGCTCTGAAAACCACCTTTCCAGTCTCTAGAAAAGCTGATTTCAACTCTTAATAGCGCTATGTGCTTTTGGTTTAAAAGAAAAAAAAATAAAAGAGAACCATAGCCAACATTAAGTTTATTCCAGTCATGGCTTAAGCATATACATCATGATCACACTCAGGTGCACAATGAAGAAGAGTTCCATTTCTTTTCCCCCTCCTTTAAATCGTAGAACAGATATATGTCACCCATGTCATGCTTAGGAATAAGGAACACAGCACCCCTCCAAAAATAAAAGTTTATCTGAAGAGACATTATCAGAAACAGAAGAATGGCTCAAAAGTTAGTAACACTAAGATAGGCCCAGACAGTAGTAGTAACTCAAACATCTAGGTTAACCAGAAATGTTTACTAGCCTAGTCATTTTTTACATTACCTAGAGAAGGTAACTTTAGTCTTCCCATGTGAAACAGAGACTCTGTGGCATTGGTATTATTCCAAATGAATTTTAAAATTTTTATTTCATTGAAAAATTCAGTAGAATAGGTCTCTTGGAAACTTTAAATACATCAAATAACATGTACTCAGATTTCACATTCCAACTTAAAGTTGTCAAAACACAATCAACATGTAATGGGAAAATATCTGTGCTTCAAACAGCACTTTAAAAGACACTAAGGGCCAGGTGTGGTGGTGACGCCTGTAATCCTAGCACTTGAAAGGCCGAGACAGGAGGATCACTATGAGTTCAAGACCAGCCTGGGCTATATACACAGTGAGTTCCATGTCAGTCTCAACCACATAGTGAGACCGTGTCTCAAAAAAGAAAAACAAAAACAAAAAAACACCAAGGAGGAAAGTTGGGAGCAAGAAGGAGCATTCTGAGGTGAAGGCTGAGTGGAGCAAGAGACCAACAGCACAGGAATGGTTTTGTCAGGGTGCTGCTCTGCACCCCAACTGTCACCAGCTCCGACTTCCTATCTGCTCGCAGCAACCTTTGTGCACTCTGGCGATGCAGTGTTGCACTAAGAAGTTCTTATGCCATATTTACTTTTCCCCACAACATTTATCTGAAGCTTGATATGCTCAAGTCCCATAATTCATACAGCCCAATTACCTAGCCAACATTATGCCCTAGAGAGACAATCAGAAGTGTAAAATGTCACCATCATAAAAAGAAAATAATGAAGGTAACTAGGATTTAAAATGGACCAGGTGACTGTTAAAGATATAGCCACAGGTAGACAGCATCAACACCATGTTCTTGATAAATATTAAAAGTATAAAGTAGGTTCCTTTTTAAACAGATTCTTTAATAAATATGTAAGTCACTAATTTTAAAATGTATTTTAATTGTAAAATGAGCATTACAAAAGCCCATTTCTTCCTGAAGATGCACTTCCTCATTACTCTAAGTGGTAGTGCATTTCCGAAGCCAACCCACCAATATTTGCTTAACCTGTAATCTACTGGCATATGGCGCAATGAAAAATGAAATCTGATAGGGACTTGCAAAGCTTCAAAACGCACATCAGCATTTCAGCTGAAAGAGCAAGAGACTGGCAGAACAGGATTTAAAAGATGGAGTACACAAAATCCAAACTGTTCACACAATTGTCCATATGAGACTCTCTCATGACAAGTTCCACACCTTTCCTTGAGATCCTCAAAGATCCTAACTCCATAAGGGAAAAATTTCTGTGCCACATAGGTCTATGCATGTTTACAGGACATGATAATTTCAGGAATACAAAGCTATTAACCTTCCAGGAAAAAAAAAAAAAAACACTAAGTGAAGAGGATCCCAGAGTAAATAACAGATTTCAAAATGATAAAAGAAACTATCTAAAGTGAGGTACATGGCCCCAGAGACACCCATTTTAAAGCAGATTTTGACCAATGAATAGTGTTTGTACAGTTGGCTTAGCTGCAAGAAAACATCTCAGATGTTTATATTTGTAAGAAACTCCATGTAGTCTTCCCAACCTAGCCAAATCATAAGCCAAAACTTTATCACACCTTTTTCATCTAATTTTATCATTATTTTAAAAGAGAAATCTAAATTTTACTTACACCCAATCCAAACAAAAATGTGTTTAAAGACTCAAAACGTGATGAGTGAACATGCCTTTCTATTAGCTATGACTAAGAAAATCAGAGCAATAACTCCTTTTTAATATTTCTAACATGACTTTTAACTTTTCCCAAAGTTTCTATAAACTAATATAACAAAGTTCAGACATTTTTCTTTTCTTAACTGAGGATGATTTATTGCTTACTTGTTTTGGGCTTTTGTCAAAATAAATGAACTACATATATCTTAGGGATGCGTTTCGCAACAACATACTTTAAGACAAATACCTATTTAAAAATATTACTGTTTGCCTACCTGTTCTGTGCAAATCATGAGTCTGCAGCTAAATCATTAAGGTGCTTCATCTCTTTTCTCTCTCCGAAAATGTTATTATACTTTTCAACACACTGGCAAAGTTTTCTTTTCTTTTCCTTTTTAATAGAAAGCTTTTTATAAGAGAGTGCCACTTACCCCTCCCGCCTTCAGCAACTTTCTTCTGAAGTCCTCTGTGGGGTTATTGAAAGTGAGCTTCTCACAGCGGAGGTGATTCACTGGTGGATGGCCTTCAAGATGTAGGAATAAGTCATAATCAAAGCGGACTTTCTTAGGTTCTTCCTGGAGATTAAAAAAGTTTAAGAAAGAAAAAGTCAGGCGAAACACAACATTTTAAAACAAAGTTTTACCCTTATAAGGCACAGAAAAGTCCTAGACACTAAACAGCTGTAGCACTGAAGTAGTACGTTCCTTACTCTTCCTACCCTGCCCTCCACACCCAGCACCGAAGCATGCCATTTTCTCCCTCCTCGCTTGAATAACAGCCTTCTAACTATTGCCTTGCTCCTGCTCAATGCCCAAATCACTTATATGCTGCCTTCTTGCCTAGGTCTTCCTACTTTAGGAAACAATCTCCTAAATTCCTCCATCATTCCGGTTTCAAAATTATCTGTAAATTATCTGATTACAATTTCAATGGCTTCCAATGGCCTTTAGGATAAAAATCTAAAGCCACCTAAATGCCATGTAAAGGCCTTCCTACTCTGGCTCTTCTACACCCGCTGCCCATCTGACGGTCTGACGGCGCCCGACCACGGACTGCTCCTCAGTGTCTCGCTACCACTCACTGCGTTTCACCTCTGCGCTGCATTACGGCCTCATCGCCCACCTCCGTTCCTTCACTCCTGAGTAGCATCTCCTCCTCCTCGGAGATTTCACTTCAAGAGCATTTGGTGAACTCTACCCCAACTCCTCACCTGCTCTGCTCTGCTAAATGAGCATCTCCCTCTCATCCCGGTCCAAGCTCAGAATGACCATCTTGATTTTCTGTTTACCCTGATCTATCATAAGATTATTAAATAGAGTAAAAGTCTTGGAATTATCATTAGTCTTTTAACAATTTACACTTGACATCCATCACACAGTAGAAATGCAGTGTCTCTCAGATAAATACAGAATAGCATTTTCCTAGATACAGAACTAGTAGGAAAAAAAAAGCACCTTGTCCAAAAGAATACAATAATTAGAATTTCATGCCTAGCCTAGAGTCAGCTCTCAAGCCATTACTTTGATTGGGTGAACATTTATCCTTTTCTACATATGAATTTTTAGCCATCCAAGGTGAGATGATACAGTAACAGGCGCACACTTTGACCTTCATGTTAATTCTCACAGCTATCCTTTTTGACCTTTGTGAGCTGTTTTACTGTTGTATTACTAATTCAAAAGTTCTTTTGACTCCAAAGACCTACGTCCATCATAGGTAGTACCTTCCACAAATCTGCAGCGTCTCCCTATTTGTCCAGACATCTCCAGATTCCTGTCTTCATTCATTTCCCCACTCGCCTCTTCAATGCCAATACAGTCGGAGCGCACCACGCTCCTGCCCTCTCTGATCAGGGTGCCACCCGTGCTCCCGGATCCTCCTCACAGGTGACTGGCCATTCCTCCCCAGTCTTTGCAGCCTTCTCTTGTGTCTCCGTTGACCCTTCCCTGCTATTTACATTTCTGGGAGGTTTCCCAGGAGACGAAGCAGGCTCACAGGAACCTTGCTCTGCCCGCGTAACAGTGACCCTTGTCCATCAGCACCTCCACCTCAGCTCTCACTGTTGTCACCTGCATGAGTTCCACAGGCTGACCAACAGCGCCCCCATTACACAAAACCCATCTCAGCCCATCTTCTGTGCCTATACTCTACGTGCAGGAGTAGTGATCCTGTTTTCCATGGTTGAAACACATAAAAATCGTCCTCTCCTCTCCAGTCTCGCTCACTCACCCTAGTTGTTTAGTATCCCTGTTCAGGGACTCTCAGACCCAACCCCTATTCTCCAGCTATCAGGATTACTGCCTTCACTTAGACCTTCACCTTTCCTCACCTTGCATACTCCCTTGTTTGGAACCTGCCTCATTCTACTCACAATGACAAGACTTTTCTTCTAACACAAAAATCAGATATATTTCCATTAATTCAAACAGAACATTTAAAGGTCACTTTCTTGGAATAACTAGAATTGTCTTTTACCACTTTTCTTGCATTTCCTTTCTTCTCTTCTACACATTCTTCTCCCCTTTTTTTGGTACTGGGGATCAAACTCAGGACCTTGTGCTTGCGAGGCAGGCAGTGGCACCACTGAGCTTCAACCCCGGCCCTCTTCTCCACAACTGTGAAGTACATGTGCTCCTTCAATACTTCCCATGATGTCATTTCTTGCCCAGGGGTGGTGAACCTCTGGCATGTGTGCCAAGGCTGGCTGTTTGTCACGACTGAAAGCTCTAACAGGTTCTCCATCACCGGTATTGTCTTTCACAGATAGTGTTCCCTATGCCTAACAGCCTAAGACATCTTCCCCCTAGAAAATTCCCGTTATTTCCTGGTTAGTGCAAATGCATTACTTGAGACCCAACTTAAAGCATTAACTCCTCCAGAAAGTCTTCTTATCCATCCCAGTACAATCAGAATTAGATGGCTCTCTTATACCATTACTCTATTAATGCAATTATCACACTAGATTATGAACATTTTTTATCTTATCTCTCTCCTAAATTGTAAAACAATCAATGCAATCCTAGAAATAATTAAAAAGGAGGGCAGTTTTCTGCCTTATCATTGGGAGTATAAATTAGAAAGCTTTTTGTTAGACATTTTAGCAGTATCTATCAACACACTAAATGCTAACAGTGTTTGACCCAGTAACTCTAACCCTAAGAATTCAAATACAAGTGCAAATGCTCATGGTAGCATTCTTTCTCAAAGCAAAAAAAAATTTTGGGGGGGTACCGGGGATCAAACTCAGAATCTTATACTTGTGAAGCAATTAATAGCAAAATACTAAATGTGATCTGCATTATTATCATGATATAGTATTCAGATGTTTAAAATTTCTACCTTGAGAAGGCACACTGCTAAGTGAATGAAAGGCAAATCACAGAAAAATTAAAAGTATCATACCCTTGCCAACCTCTACATTGACATATGTAAATACATGGAGAAAAATCTGAAAAAAGCAATACCAAACAGTTAACAATCACTAAATTGAGTTTTGTTTCATACACCTTTATTACTATTATACTTTTTAAAAGAAAAAAAAAATTAATGATTACAACTAATTACCAGCATAATGAGAATGAAGTAATAAATAACATTACTTTCTAGTCTTCAAAAGTTTAAAACAAGGAGATCATTTTTCAATAAAATTAAGGGTAAGGACTATAGAGCATACCTCTTTCGGAGAGTCCCAAGTATAATTTTTTTTTTTTATTTCAGTAAGAAAACAGTACCCATTAACTGTAGTGTCAACTGGATGTTTCCTCTCAGAGGACTGCTGTTAATATTATGTTAATCTACCCTCCCCAGAAAAGACTCTTCTTCAAAGTTCAAATAAGAAAGCATGGCCGGGCAAGGTGACACACGCCTGTAATCCCAGCACTTGGGAGGCTGAGGCAGGAAGATCACTGTGAGTTCGAGATCAGCTTGGGCAACATAGTGAGTTCCAGGTCAGTCTCAACTACATAGTGAGACCCTGTCTCAAAAAACAAAACAAAACAAACAAACAAAAAAGAAAGCATGTATTAGTCCTATATATAAAACCTGTGTGTTTCCTAGAAGTGGAAACCTGTTTTGGCAACATCAAATTTTCCCTCTCATGATGCAGAAGCTTCATCTGTGACATCTACTAGTCTGCTTTTGCTGAGAAAACACTGAAAGACAAGACACACAGGGTCCGTTCCAGCCTGAAATGCCACAGCTGATTACGCTTCAGGGTCTACTGGCTTGAGTATCTGAAACACACTTGCCTCTCACAGATATGCTGCTTTTGCGGAGCATGCATACAAAATGAGAGGGATAATCCAGCTGAGTACTGATACTCAGCCCTCAACTGAGCAAAGCTGAAGACACTCATCGGAGAAGCAAGGCAACTCACAGTCCAGGACAGGACCCAGAATGGGACCACAGGCCCCAGAACAGGACCTCTTGCCCAACCTGTGTGTTACGGTTCTTTCAGCAACACAACTAGCTCTTTGGGCTGAGCTCCCTCCTCTCCTAAGAAAACCTTCAACACTTCTTTGTGAACCACTACCATAATAGATATTCACTCTTTGAGACAGAGTGGAGTAAACACCTGTAAAAATAAAAATGATAAATACTCAAAAGAAATGAAAAGAACATGCTCGAGCAAGAGCCTAGGCCTACTAAATCTGAAATGAAACAAGAAATATATCCAGTTGCTAAATGAAATAAGCCAGACACAGAAGACAAGGTCGGCATGAGTCTACTTCTATGAGGCATAGATAAAGTCGCATTCATCAAATTTTTAAAATAAAAGGCTGGAGTAGTAGCTGCCAACAGCTCAGAGGAGAGGGAAAAAGCAGTTATAAACCAACAAGCACATGGTGAACAGGCGCTGTAATCTGCTGTGCAACACTGGTCTACAGTCCACAGTAATGGACACTTAGAATTGGTTTAGTAGAGTTCATGCTGTGTTCTTACCACAACAATGTTAAAATTTTTAAAAATACTTTTAGTTCAAAGACCCAAATTGAAATACAGAAAAATTTGGTTTCCAAAACCCTCTAAGAGGATCAATAAGGGACTGATAGCAAGATTTTTATCAAAAAATAACATACAGAAAAGTACATAAAATACTAAAGCTGTGTACTCTCTGTTGAGATTTAACAGATATTCTTTCATCAAATTCTTTAAAGAAACAGAATTGTATACATTTAAGCTTCTCCATCTCTCCTCTCCCAGTAATCAATGCTCTTAAGTTCATGTACTGTCATTCAAACGTCAGCTCTTATATTACATGTGTGTTTCCATAGCACCATTTACTCATTTTAAAAGCATACATAAGTGATACCGAATTGCATGTGCACACATTGACTTCGTCACCACTTAGTGAGCAGTATTTCTGAGGCACATTCGCTAAGTCTGTACGGTATATTGTACCGTTAAGTCTACCACTTACCAATCCACATCTCTACATATGTCCAGTCAGGTCTACCCTAACTTGTTATATTGTGAACACTGAAATATGTATGTCTCACTGCTCACATGTGAAAATAACAATCATTCCTACATAAAGAATCTTAAAACCTAGAATTAGAAAATAGAAATAGTCTGC